CGCTGTGTGCGGACAGCATGGCCACGACCGGCCCTTGCCGGCCGTTTGGCGACTTCCTCCGGCAACTTTAACATGAATGAACATAATACAACCTAACATGATCATATGTACTGAACTCACTTAAAATCATGCCTTTTGCCCAATTAAGTGCCGTGAGGTGCGCTACGGGCGCTACCGTCGGCTTAAGGCCAATCCTCGGCCAAACACCAATTTACCTTGACCACTAACGCTTGATTGAACATAAAATGCTATTTAAAGCTTATTCAGGCTAGAGTTACTCGCATGATTCTGATCATATGTCATGACAACATAAAAGCAAATACACGGCCCGTGGACATGCGCTAGGTGCGCTGTCCACTTCCTTGGACCGTTTCATGAATAATTCTCCAACTTTCCTCGAACCATCTTGTAAAACTGAACATATAATGATCTATACTGGCTAAATAAACATGAGTTGTTCGGTAAAATCTGAATAGAACTAAATATCACTCGGTTAGACCCCTCATGGCCAATACCGAGCTTAATCATGAACTTTACATGATTACTCCAACATGAGCTGACTGAACTGACTTAAACATGAGTTAATTAACATGAGCAAACACTGATTATTAGTTTACCTTACTGAGTGTTCGCGGAAATTCCCACGATCGGTCATGAATCATCACTTTCGCACCTATGCTCGTGTGCGTGTGTTCTTGTACTATTTTTACGGAATTATTGCTAAGTGCTTGCTATGCTCTCCTAAGTATCTCCCCTGAATTCTCCCCTTTCTGCCAGAACATATATTGCCTTATTGCACGGAGAAAACGAGGGAAAACTTGAGGTGTTGGCTCGGCCAATGACCGAGCACCAAGTGCCGCGCATGCAAGGAACAAGGTGGTGCATCTCGGCTGACTCATCAATTTAAATGCTTAGTCATGACCTGAGCAATTCTCAGCCCTCCATGTGTCCCCTTGACTTAAGCTAATGCACGTGAAATTTAAGAAACTTGAACATTAGGCACGTTAACCTCGGTTAGCCGCGCTAATGGCATGCTTAGGGCTAATGCGTGCGCTTAGGCGCTAAGGCGTGTGTTTGCCCTTGCTTAATACTAAACCATGCTAATGACTTGCTTAACACCTTAAACATGATTATCATTAATTAATCCTCATTAATGTTAATTAATCTCAATTAACATTAAACTAATCATGATTATCTTAAGCTAATCTCGATTAATTAGCTTAAACATGATTAAGTTAATTAAGCACGGGCTAATAACCATTACTTAATTAACGATAGACGGTGTACCAACGTGAATGCGTCACAATACTGATAAACCGAACTTGACGTGAGGAACTTTAACTGGATTAACTATCGGAATATTATTCCGAACATGAACATGACATTCAAAAGTTAATTCGAATATTCTTGACTTTGACGATTAATCCGAACATAAATATTTCGAATAATTCGTCAACTTGGCTTATTAATTCCAGACTCATTAACTAATTAAATGAATCGGAATTAAAATCTTAAAACTTATTCGATTTATCCAACCGAATAACATATCGACTAATAGTCGAATTTGAAGTATAACTGACTGAATTTCTTGATCTTAAACATGAACATAACTATTTATTAACAAAGGCTAGCTTAATATTAAAAGCTAGTAATTCCTTTATTAATAAAACTCGGGGTGTTACATGATTGATTGATATTATTTAATTATATTGATGATAGTGGGTTGAGTTAAAGTTGAGTTAAAAAAAATGATTGATTTAAAAATAATTGGATTTTTTTGGATCCAATTTATAAACATGCATCCCTTAAGAATCCGCAAATGGCCACAAAATTTGGCTCCCATTTGTTATCTTGGAAAAGGAGAATCTTCGGGAATCTCCATCCCTTTTCGAATTTGGTAGCCATCAGTTGGCGGGAAGTGAGGGCAAATTGGTGCAATCGAAAGGAACCGCGAAAATGTCGGGAGAACAAGATTGGCGTTTAATTAAGAGTAAGCAGAAGGCTACTAACCAGGCCTATCGTGAAAGCGGACCACATGTAAGTGGACAAATGGCGGCTAATGGGCCTAAGGCAAGTCGTGAAAAATCAGTGGCCGAGGCACAACATAATGGGCCAAAAGATCTCACAGCAGCAAATACGATTAATGCAAGAGCTCCAACCCACGTCCAATCTTCGACCCATGCAAGCCATATCACCATTGGTGCAGGACTTAACCCATCTAAACACTGGGCTATTATCGTTGAGGACGACCAAGACACCATTCCACCACTTACCGACTCATCTCAACCTGCCACATAGACCTCGCCAATGATGCGGTCATGGCGGAGGGAGAACACGACATCAATCTTGAGGAACCGTGGCCGGAGGAGCCACACCCACGTCGGGGACCAATGGATATGGAGGGGGAGAACAAACTGCCCCGTGAGCATGGAGGAAGCCTCAACCTCGCGGGCCCCAGGCCTCGCTTAAAGTGCCCCCCGATCGTTTTTTTCTTTGGTGAAGTTGTCCATGAATAGTATAATTTGGAACGTTCAGGGAGCAGGCTCATCCGAATTTCGGGGAGCTTTCTCTACACTCATCCGTCAGTCTAAACCTGATGTTGTCGCCTTATTTGAGCCTCGGATTAGTGGGGCCACCGCGGATAGCTTTGTGAGGTATAATAAATTTGAAAACACTTTTCGGGTGGAGGCCCGGGGCTTTTCTGTAGGCATATGGCTTCTTTGGTCAGACGAGGTGGATATTGAAGTCCTAGTTTCCACTCGACAACTGCTCCATGCAAGGGCGTGCAAACAAAATGAGGAGAGCCTAATAACCTTTATTTATGCGAATCTCAACCCGGTTATTTGGCGCAGACTGTGGACCACGCTTGAGAGGCTCCCAGTCGGTATCACGGAACCTTGGCTTCTCGGGGGTGATTTTAATTGCCTTCTACATCACTCGGAAAAAATAGGAGGCTCCTCTAGCCACCACAATGTGAGTAAGGACTTTGGGGAGTGGATGTTTACGCATAGTATACAAGAGGTAGCAACCGATGACCACCTCTTCACGTGGGTCCGGGAGGGCCAGCAGGGGCGAGTCACCGAGAAGCTGGATCTTTTTGTTGCCAACATGGCCTAGATGGACAAATATGACACAAGTCGGGTCTGAATTCTCCGCGTATACGATTGGATCACTCCCCTCTTATGTTAGCCTTTGGTCATGTGGAGCTTACACCGCAAGGAGCAAAATCGTTTTGTTTTCTTGCGGCGTGGCTTCTTCATCCAGGCTTCCCTGAAATGCTTCATGACTCATGGACCCCTTCCACTTGCTTTCTAGATGCGGCCAAGAATTTTGCGATGGTTGCGAAATCATGGAATTTTAATGTTTTCGAAAATATCTTTCAGCGCAAAAAAAGGCTTCTGGCCCGAATTGGTGGTATACAAAGAAGTCGAAAATTCTATTTCATTGAGAGACTAGCGACCCTTAAAACCCAGTTGCGGGCGGAATTGGATGATGTCATCATGCAAGAGGAAATGCTTCTTATTTAGAAATCCACAAGGGATTGGATGCATCTTGGAGACCAGAATACTGCCTATTATCATCAGCAACTCAAAGCCCGACGGCGACGAAGGAGAATTATGGAACTAGTGGATGAGGATGGGACTCGTGTCTCCAACCAAGAGGCCCTACGGGCCTTCAAAAATATATACACGGCGGGATCAAACCCCGAGTTAGCCGGGCCCATGCCAAATTTGTTCCATCAGTGTGAGGAGGATAGCGTGCGGTCTATGAAGGAGGATATCTCGGATAGTGAAGTCTTCTCTGCACTTCATAGCATGGGATATTTAAAAGCACCGGGCATGGATGGTTTGAATGCCTTATTTTTTAAACAGAACTGGGATGTTGTGGGTCCTTTAGTCCGAGAGTTCATCCGAAAAATGTGGCGCCATGGACAAGTTCCGAGAGAGGTGAACTAAATGCTTCTTGTCTTGATTCCAAAGATCGGGAATGCCACCTCCATCAGAAACTTCAGACCTAGAAGCCTGCTCAACATCATCTACAAGCTCTTCACTAAAATACTGGTGAATCGAATGAAAGAGACACTTCTCAGGCTCATTCACCCAGCCCAAGTTAGTTTTGTCCCGGGCCGGAGTATTATTGACAATATTGTTGTAGCTCAAGAACTTATCCACTCTATGAGGCGCAACAACGGAGTGACGGGCCATATGGTTATCAAAGTAGACCTGGAAAAAGCTTATGATTATCTGAGGTGAGATTTCATCGAAGAGACTCTCCAGCTAGCCGGATATCCAGACATTATGATTAGAGCCATCATGGCTTGTGTACGCTCGGCGTCGATGAACCTATTGTGGAATGGGACGATAGGGGAGGAATTTCATCCTTCGCGAGGGGTTCGTTAGGGAGATTCCATCTCCCCTTATCTCTTCGTGCTATGCATGGAGAGACTGGCTCAGATCATTGATAAAGAAGTAGAGGCTAAAGCTTGGAAGCCAATATCAGTGGGTCGGGGGGCTGTCTCGGTCCCTTTCTTAATGTTCGCTGACGACCTCCTTCTCTTCGTGGAGGCTTCGGAGGACCAGACAAGGGTCCTTAAGCAAACTCTCGATTTCTTTTGCCACATCTCGGGGCTCAAAGTAAGTGCAGCCAAGACCCAAGTCTTCTTCTCTAAGATTGTACAACTTGATGCTCAACACCAAATGGCGGCCTTCCTTAACTTCAAATGGACGGATAATTTGGGGAGATATTTGGGTGTCCCAGTCTTTCATGGACGAATAAATTTATCCACTTTTTCGCATATAGTGGACAAGGTAGAAGCGCGTCTAGCCGGGTGGCGCATGAGAACCCTCTCCCTTGCCGGGAGGGTGACCCTTACCCAGTCAGTGTTAAATTCACTACCTTACTTTTCCATGCAATCCGTTTTACTGCCAAGCACACTAACTGACGGGTTGGAGCGTCATAGCCGGGCCTTCGTCTGGGGAGGTACAAACGAAAAACGAAAAATTCCTTTGGTTGCATGGTGCGACGTGGGAAAACCAAAGGATGAAGGAGGGTTGGGCATAAGAGACTTGCGACGGATGAATTACGCCCTGTTAATGAAATTAGGATGGGGGCTTCTCACGAATTATGACTCTCTTTGGACGAGAGTTTTAACAGCTAAATAGAGCATCTCGCACTCGTCTGGACTGAAAGCTCCTCGATGCAAACGAGGACCAGTTTTAATGCGGGCCCTAGGCAAGGTGTGACCTGATATCCTTAAACAAGTTCACTGGACCTTGGGCAATGGCGCTACAGTTTGGTTTTGGCTTGACCCCTGGCTTGGTACGGCTGGCCCACTTCTTCATCATGCAATTCGTAGACCAGATGAGAATAGTCTGCACTCCACGGTTGCTGCGTTTATTGACGAGCAGAGAGAATGGAAATGGTCCGCTTTTCATGGTTTGCTCCCGTCGACTTTGATTTTGCGCATCGCCGGTATCCTCCCTCCGCGGGCCACCGCAGACGAGGATCGTATCTTATGGGGCCCTTCACAGGATGGTGCTTTCTCTACTAGAACTGTGTATCGGGCACTCAATCTGACGGTGTGCGACCCGAGCAACATGATTTGGAAGTTAGTATGGCGCACGTTAGTCCCGCAGAGGGTCCGTGCTTTTCTGTGGTTGGCGACAAAGGATCGATTGTTGACAAATAAGGAACGAGCCAGACGCCATATTTCAAGCTCAGCAATGTGCGACGAGTGTGGTGCGGAGGAGTCGGCCCTTCACGTCCTCCGGGACTGCCCGACTACAACGCGCCTGTGGAAACTCTTGATTCCGGCAGGGGAGTTCAACGATTTTTTCCATCAACCTTTTCAGTTGTGGTTGTGCAGTAATCTCAG